AGTCTGCGGCTGATGATGGCAAATTCCTGCTCCTCAGACAGTCCCCTCTACACTTCTGCCCCCCACAGCCTAGCAGGCCCCTCGCTTTCACCTCTCTCTCCTGGGCGCTTTTCCTAGAGCTTCTGGAGGCAAGTGGTGTGATTTCCCAGTGAGGTCCAGGCCCCTCCTGTCTTAGATGAGGAAACTGAGTCACATGGAGTCCGCCACACAGTGAGCTGCCCCCCCCACCCAGTTGCACCTGGGTCTCCCGTCAGCAATGTCAGCTAACCCTGGGGTCCTGCAGGCCCAGGGCCTCCTCCCCCTGCTTCCCTCCGCTGAGCCCGGGGCATAGCCTCCCGGCTTTCTGCCTCTAGACCAGGAAGGATGAGCCCAGGCAAGGGCCCCTCACATCCCTACGCCATCCTTCTCTGCACCATGCCGGCCATGGCTGGCGGGTGCTTCTTTTGCTGTTTTTACTTTGAACGCATGAGGGCTTAGCAGGTGCTTTTTGCTGAGAGTAGTCCCAATAAGACAGAATTTGTTACTCCCACCTCCCCAAACCACCAGACCCTCCTCACCTGGCAGCATCCATGCACAAATGAGGGTACATTCCTCATCTTATTCTATCTCACAGTTATTATCTGGCCACATTCCCATCACAGGTGAGGAAACTGACGCTCACAGGAAGGGTCAGAAAGGTAAGCAAGGTCATGTGCTGATAAATGAGTATTAAACAGAATTGTTAAATGAAGCTTTTGATTTTCAAATAAAAAATAAAGAAGCACTTACTACTGCATGCTCTGAGTGATGAGCATGATTATCTGTAATGACTCATTTCCTCCTCACAAACATTCCATTATTATCCTCATTTTAGAAATGAGAAATCTGAGGCACAGAGAGGTTAAGTAACGTCCCAGGGCCACACAGCTAGTAAGCAGCAGAGCCAGAATCTCAGTCCAGCCAGTCTGGCCCCGCGGCCATGCACTTAACCACCCTGCCAAACCATCTGTGCAGAGTCAGGTCTAAACAGCTCTGTCCACTAGAACTTTCTGTGCTGCTGAGAATGTTCTGTGCCTGTGCTGTCCAAGATGGTAGCCACCAGCCAGATGTGGCTAAGAAGCACTTGAGATGTGGCTGGTGTGACTGAGGATGGGAGGAGAGCAGCTCCCACACCCAGGGCTGGGCTCTGGTTTCTTAACAACGGCCACATGAATAGCCAGAGTCTTGAGCGTAAAGAGAAACTCATGGCATCACAAGCTGGGTGGCCCACCTGCCCTAGAAAGAAGGAAGCAAGATGGGCAGAGGTGAAGGAGCAGACCTGCCCCGCAGAGCCAGCCAGGGAGGACAGGCAGAGCCAGGTCCCCCACTCCAGACCCCCACGGCCTGCCTTCATGTCTCTGCTCTCTCTCCGCCCGCATCCCTCACCCCTCTCCTGCGTGTGAGCAGACAACCGGCTCACATTCCCCACATATATAGAGAGAGATCCTGCCCATGGCTCTGAACACTGAGCTGTGGAACCCACGGCCCCGTGGCAAGGTTAGTCCTCAAATCCGGTCAATTCCTGATCTAGACTTACACTCTCCACGTTTGGGCTTATGGGTGGCAAAGCCTTAATCCCCACCAGGCACTTGGCGCGGAGGCCGCCTCCTGCCCTGCTGTCAGCTGGTGTGTGCGCAGGGAGCGCAGACTCATTTTAATATTGGCTGGGGATAAACCTCATTAGAAAAGTAAATTTGCTATAGCTGCAAAAAAAAAAAAAAAAAAAGCAACCCACACAACCCTTCCAAAGCTAAATAGAAAACACTAATTTTGGATTATTTGATTATTTGATGTGATTTGGTGCTTGATGTTCCCAACACCTGGTGCAGGGCCTGGAACACAGTAGGTGCTCAGTCAGTGCCGGTGCCAGTGAGCTGAATTTTGAGTGATCCCTGACTACCCTGTCTCCTTTCAGCATGGATTAGAAGAGGTCATGGATTTGAAGTTTGTAAGTTTCACAAATTTTTTTAGACATCCAATTGCTGATAAATTGGAGCAATTACATTTAACAATAATTAGACATGAAAATATTATTGTTGCTTGGCAAAGACAATATCAGAAACACTGAGGGGTGCTAATGAGGGGTGCTCTGGGTTCTCTGGGCCTGGGTAAGGAAGGGCCGGGCCCAGCCCAGGCCTGGAGGTGTGGTGAATCAGGTGAGGGCAGGAGGTGGGACAGACTGCAGTGATTCCAATGGGATTGGCTCCAGTGCTGGCCTGGCCAGAGAATTGCTACTCCAAATTCTAGAGCCATCCAGATCCTAGAAGAAAAGGGGAAAGGGAGTAAATTAAATTAAATTAATCTAGCATTTCCTCTAAAAACCGTCTGGTGAGATAAGGGTTCCCCAATTTATAGACCTGCAGGAAACCAGGGCTCAGAGGACTCAGTTTTTCCCAAAGTCCACTAGACTGGCCATAGATGGAGCCAAGATGGGACCCCAGACAGTCTGGCTGAGGGCCTAGCCATCTGCCCCACTTCCATGTCCCCTTGCTGGTCTTCTGTAGGGACCCCAAAGGTCTTGCCTGGTGGCATGGGGAAAGGGTATCTAAAGAATTCTCTTCTTCCTTCTCCCCAAATGCCAGGTTTCCCCAGACCCCACACCCTTCCACGCTGCACAGCATTCCAGGCCCAGGAGGGAAGGGGCAGGGGCGAGAGATGGAGAGAGCCCTCAGTACTGGGAGATCGTGGAGCGCAAGGGGTGCCCTGAAGGTCCCTGCACAGTCTCCTGCTCCTGACCTCACAGCCTAGCCCCCCTTGCCTTTAAGCCTCCCTCTGAATGCCCTGCATTCATCAGAGCCATGGGAGGGAGCCTTCCCAGCAGAATGTCCACCTGTTTCACCGAGGGGCCTCCTGTAGGGCAGACGACTGCCCCAAATCACTGCTCTGCATGCCCTGACTGCTGTTCATGTGTCTCCCCCGTCATCTGCCTTTGTCCCTTGTCTCGCTCTGCCTCCTCCTTCGCTGTCTCAGGCTCTCTCAGATTCCTTCTCCTCCTGGATCCCTGTCTTTCCTGCCCTCCACTTCTCAGCAGAGAGGCGTGCTCAGGCATCTCTTCCAGCCACACTGGACCACCATGCTCATCTCCCCAGAGCCTGGGCTTCTGGTCAGTGCATGCTCCTTCATGTCCCACACTTGCAAAGCTCCCGGCCTGCCTCATCACCATGTGTGCCACAACCAGGGAAAGTGCAAGTGACTGGGTCCCCTCACCCCCAAGAAACAACTGTGAGAAAACCCAGGTCTCTCCAGAAGCCCAAATGGGAAACTGGGCTAGCCCCAAGGCATTTTCCTCTGAAGCCTCGGTCTCTGCCCTGGGCTCCAATCCTGTTCCTGAAGCTGCCCCCAGCACCCATGGCCCAGTTATTTACCTGCCCCATGGAGCAGGGGGGACAGTTAGTACCTGCTCACCCAGAAACATATGTGCACATTTTCAACCCAGCACATGTGAGCTCCTAGCATGCCCGAACCTGGAGTGATTCTCAAGCATCTAAGGATCAGGTACAGAAATAGGAGAAGCAGCCACTGGCTCCAGTGCTGAATGGGGCACAAATATATTAACTGTCCCTGTTCCATTAGCCTTAGCAAGCATTTTTTACTTCCATCAAAAGGGGCAGTGGGAAAATGTCATGCAGGTCCAGAATCTTTGGGAATCTTCCCACAGACTAGGCAGAGTGGGAAGTCTCCTTGAGGGACTCGTGGGGAATGGTCTTTCTTCAATGTGTTTGAGACTTGCTCCAGTAAGGCTGATAATGGGAATAGGCTAAGCAGGTTCTGGGAGGAAACCTCTCAGTCTCTGTAGTGGATACTGGCAGAGGTAGGGGGTGGAAGACACAGAAGACATGTCTTAGAAAACCCTAGAACAGCCACCCTGTGCAGCAGCATGCCCCCATGACCCAGTAACTTAGGAAGCTGTGTGCCTCCCATTGCCACACAAACACACACAGTAGGTTCACGGTTCTATGCACTAGAACATCACAGCCCATCACTTTAAACAGTGCATGGCCACACAACCCTAGCTCAGGGCTCCACTGAGTACCCCGCCCACACTGTTACCCATGCAGATAGAGCAACCTCCACCAGCATGGGGCTGGCAACTGCCAGCAAAAGGTCCCCTTCAGAGTCTGCAGTAGAAATGTCTGGAGTCCCTGAGCTCCAGCTTCTACAAGAAGCCATCCAGCTGGTGCATGCCTGAGACCAGGCCTGGCCAGAGGGCAGGGATGGGAATGGAGGATGTCAAGCCCCCCTGCGTGTGTAAGGGAGGAGGATGGTGTTGGTCTCTTAGCTGTTTGATAGGAGGCTTTCACCCCCTTTCCCTGGCACTGCGGGATCTGGTGGCTTCCTTCTTTCTTCGTTCCTGCCTCAACTCTCAGCTTCCTTTTTTAAAGTTGTATGTTCTGACTTCTGACTTCGGAAGGATCAGGACCTCAGGCCTGAGTCCAGATGCAGCCTGGAGGGTGATGAACTGGTCATGCCTCCTTCCTCCTTGCTACAATGAAGGTCCCAAGGACCCTTTGCAGCCCTTGCCTCCTCTGGGCCCCTCTGCCTGCCCCGCAGAGCTGGGGCTCCCTGAAGAGAGTTAACTTGGCAGAGCCCAGGAGCTGCAGGTCAGATGGCGATGGCTGTTGGGGGACAGGGGCGGCGCAGGGGTGCGGGGCACCAGGAACCACCTGCTGAGGTAGCCAGGGACCGCCAGCTAAAAGCCCAGGGCCAATTATTAGAAGCTGCTAAGAACCAGCTCTTCCCTTACCCCCATCCGAGGAGGGCAAGCAGTGCCCAGGTTTTGTTCCGCAGCCCTTGAGAGGCAGCGCCCCCAGCCCGGCTCGGTTCTCGGCCCCCTTTCCAGCTGCCCCCACTGCGCGCACAGCACACACACACACCACGCGCGCGCCCGGGAGGACATGGCGTGGGTACTGATGGGGACGCATAAAGGAGCTCTGTGCGCGGCGCGGCGCCCGCGGGGGGCGCGGGGCGCGGGGAGCACTGACCTGCGGCAACGAGTCCGGATAGTCCCCGGCGCGGTCCATCGCGGGCGGCGGCCCCTACGCCCCGGCCCCAGCGCCCCCAGGCTGCAGCCCCGGGCCGCGCGCGCCTCCCTCCCCGGGTGCTCTTGGGCTCCGGGCCCTCAGCGGCCACTTCATAGCCGCGGGGTCCGCTCGCCCGCCGGCCAGCAGCCCCGCCCGGCCCCGCCGCCCGGCCCGGCTCCTTCTGGGCGCAGCGAGGCGGCGGCCGAAGCCTGGAAGCGCGCGGGAGGGCGCAGGCGGGGAGGCGCGGGGAGGGGGCGGGGAGCGGGAGCGGGAGGCGGGGGGCGGGAGGGGGAGGCGCAGGGGGCTGCGGGGGAGGCGCGGGGCGGCCGGGGCGCGCGGTCGGAGCGGAGCCGACCGGGCCGGCGCAGAGTCCCCTCGGCCACGGCTGGTGCGCCGGTGCCGCGGCGGCTGTGACAGCGCTCCTGCCCCGCCCCCACCCCGGCTTCGCGCCCCCGCCCCCGCCCCCGAGCGAGCGCGAGCTGCCGGCGGGACCCGCACCGCTAATGGTCTGTACCAAGCTCGCCGGCTGCGGCGGGGGCGCGAGGAGGGAGCGGGCGAGCAGACCCCCCCGGATTGGTATCACCCCCAGCCTCCAACCCCCAACACACACCCTCCCCAGGGGAGGAGGCTGCAGCTTCAGGCGCTGGACCAGGGGCTGCGGGCGGGGGCCGAACGCAAAGGCCTTGGCTCGGTAGAGTTAAAGCTCTCCCGGCCCCTGCTGCACCCCCATGCCACCCCGCCTCCATCCTGGCTGTTCCTGGCGCCCAGCTTGGCAGCCTCTCTCAAAGGGTGATTGTTTCCGGGCTGGGCGGTTGGGGGGCGGTTCTCTGGGACCGAGAGGCAGAGCTGGGGATCTGGTGGTGGTGGGGGCGAATGCAGCTCCTTCCTTGGCTTCGGGCACCCCAGAGTGGAAGGTGGCTGGTGGGGCCTATGGTACCTTGCCAGGATACAGGGGTGCTGGTGTAGGGTGCGGTGGGGGTCCTCAGGCGCCAGGCAATGGGGTGGCCCCACCTGTCTGCACTTGTTCACTACTGCCTTGTGGAAGGGCACGTGGAGCTGCTGTCAGCCCTGTCTCCTCTGCCCGGCCCGCCCCAGGGCAGTGCACTGGGCATTCCAAAGAGAAGGCGGGGAACGGAGAGGCAGGGGCAGCTCGCTCTCCAAGAATTCCCGGGTGCCCCTTGCCTGTGCGTGCGGTGGGCTGGGGGTGTGGCCAGCAGTGGATGTGGATGTGTGTGTATGTACGTTGCCGGTACACATATAAGGTGGCGTGGGGCCATCTGCGGAGATATTTCCAAATGCTCTTCCGTCAACTTGCCAGAGACTTAGAATCTATCCTTGTACTCATTTTAGAGCTTTGCATCCTCCCTGCTGTTCATCCTGGACACCTGTAGTGAGGCCCTTGCCAGCTGTGTCCTCTTCACCAACCCAGAAGGGCAGCTCTGCAGTGTGGTTCTGGCCTCAGCATTGACAGCCGCAGCCAGGGGCTGTCAATGCTTTCTTCCATGTGTGGGTCTGCCACCTCCATCCCTAACCCGGTGACCAGCTTTAGACCACTGCTAGGCACTGCTGCATCAAAGTTGTGCCACTGTTCTGTGAGCTGAGGCTGAGAATCACAGGCCTTTTCTGTTGCCTTTTCTGCCCCGTCAGGACAAGCCAGGTCCTGCTCTTTCCACTGAGTATGCTGGGGGTGGCAGGAAAAGGCTACAGAATCAGCCACTTTGGTCACCTTGAGGTGAGGAAGGGACCCCACCATCCACATCATCCCACATTTGAAAATATGCTTAATTATTCTCTCTAGGGACAGTTGTCCCTTCTTCTCACTCCCTCTTTTATTCCTGTGCTTAACAGTCCTCTTTGTTGGCAAGAAGTTCCTCCAAATCTAACCTGAGTACTTCATGCTGCAGTGCAGGCTCATTTCCTCCTCTAAATGAAGCATGAATTACAGCAAGCCCTGCATTGCTTTTTCCTGCCCCACTGGAATAACCCTTGCTCCTTTGGCCTCTCTAAAGGAATGTTTCCTGAGACCATGTTTTCCTTGTGATATTTTCCTTGCCTCCACACTCTGCTCGTCCTGACTCCACACCAGCCTGAGGGAGGGGAAGGCAGGTGTGGGAGCAGGACGGAGGCCCCAGAGAGTACAGAGCGGGGCCAGGACATCCTGGAGGGCAAATTGCCTCTGTCCTCTGCTGAGCCAGCCAGTCCCAGTCCCAGGATCACTAAACAGTGAGGTGGAAATGACCCTGAAGACTGCCTGGTTTCAGCCCCTCATTTGACCAATGGGGAAACTGAGACCCACAGAGGGAATCATCAGTCTGTAGGGTCACACCCATTTCTAGGGTCTTCCCCCAGGACAGGGCCCAGCCCCCAAGTGGTGAGCTCAGGGAAGATGGCAATGAGGAGAGCTGGGTTTCAGGCCAGTTTCTAAGGCACCACTGAGTGAATGGGCCAAGGACCTCCCCTCTTGGCCAGCCTCCTCAACAATAAGGCAGGGGTTGGACTAAGTGGTCTGGCCCCTCTGGTCCTGCTGGGCTGTGGGCTGTGGGTGCTCCCTGCAGGTGTTTTCAGGGGTGCTGCTTCTCAGCTCATGGGAGCCCAACCAGATGCAACAGGAAGAGTGACAAGCTTTACCTCAGCGTTCTGTAAGAACAATAGTGATAATAAAACCCCTTTCTAGGGATCTGTCTTGCAATTTAGCCCCAGGCTCTGTTTACAGAATTTTTTAATATTAATTGTTAGAGCCAACTTAAAACAACAATGCGAGATTAAAATTAGCACGATAAGGCTCAATGAATAGATAACAGCCTGCCATTAGTTTCGGTGGGAAGTTTTGGCAGCACCCCAAGTGTGTGGACATACACAAATGCACTAACATCTATGTAGACACAAAGCATGCATATAGAGGCAGATACACGTGCAAACGCACCAGAATGAATGCACAAATATGCTCTCATATACCTCATGTGCACATATAAATGCATGCACATGCACATACCCACACCCACCTGTACCCACAAAGACTCGTATGTACACACACCAGTCCCCACTAGGTAGACTGAGCCATTGCTGCCCTTTCCTACCCCGGTTCTTGGGCTTCTTGCTTGACCCCTGCTGGTCTGTGCACATCCTTCCCTTCCACATCTGGATTTGGTACATTTCTACAACTTGGCCCTTACTCCAAACATCTGGAGCAGCCTCTAGGTCTCCCTGAATGATTGATCTTCCTTTCCTCCCTGCTTCTCACAGCAGCAAGCCCCTCTTCTCAGAGGCCCACAAAGCCTAGCACCAGAACATTTAGTATGCAAAGCCTGGGTCTGTCCTCTGGGACAAGCCGTTATGTGTTTATTGTGTAGTTAAGCAGGACGGAGCCCTGCCCCCCGCTCTGGTACTGGCCCAGTTCCCATCATTGGAATCCCAGAAGAGTCCCATAAAACCATCATCTGCAATGCAAAACCCGCAAAACATCTGGGAGGGTCTGTAGGTTTTCTCCAAATCACCTGTGCCCTAATTTAATATGAATAACAATTAGTTTACTCTTATCAGTTAATTGTTCCCCTCGTGGATTCTCTCTGCCTTGGCCTCTCTTTCAGCAGGAGCTTTAGTTTGCTCTAGACTCCTAATGACGCTTCCTTTCCCGACCAGCCTTCTATCTCAGCTAACCACCCCCGAGAGGTGATGCAGCTGAGCTGCTCACTGCCCTCCGTCTGTCTTTGCTGTCAGATTGCTGGGGCCTCAAATTTTAGGGGGCTGTCCAATCTCCCCTCGCCCCCACCAGGAATCTACAGCAGTGGTTTTGCCAATGTGAGTGGAAAGCTCCGAGGAGGAATCCCACACCACACAGCGCACATGCTCATCCGTCATTGCCCCAGCAAGGACAACAGCACATGCACACGCGTGTGCACACGCAGGCACCACCAGAGTGCAGGGAGCAAGAGGAGGAAAAGCTGCCCTCTGCAGCAGTGTGGCTCCCTGGGGACCCAGTCATGCCTTGCAGCGTCTGGCAGGCAGGCCTGAAGTGCTCCTGGCTGGATGTATGTGGATGTGTTGTTTTGAGTTCTTGGCCCAGATAGAGAGAGGGGAGGAGACCTTTAGCTCTTCTCCTTCATCAGGAGGCTTCTGTCCCTCCTTTGGATCCTGAATACTCTTGTTTCCCCATAGCAAATTGGAAATGGCCACTTGGTCACAAGGACCAAATGTCTCAGTTCCCTTCTCTGCCCTCTCCCCTCCTCCGAGGCAGTGCCAGCACCCTTCCTGAGCCGCAGCAAAGGGGCTGACCCCTGTGCCCTCTCAGCTTTCTGCAGCCAGGGCAAGGGTGCAGGTGCATGGCCTTGAAACATTTAAGTCCCTCAAAGTTCATTTTGCTTTGTTTTTCTTATAGCCAGGGAGGCATGAGAGGTGATTGGAGCAGAGCCCTGGAGGAGCATCTCTCTGAGGCACACTGGAACTGTTCTCTGTCCTCTTGCGGAAGTGAAAATGACCCAAGTTGCCCCTTGACCTCCCCAGCTACCACCTAATGGCTCCCTGAAACCCTCCCAACCCACGAGGCTCTGTGGCTCCTGCTCCCTCCCGCAGCCCTCCTGACTGCTGACACCTCAGGCAGGGAGCTGCCTCCCACTGCAGCACTCTGTCCAGGCTCCTCCGGGGCACCCGCTCGCCTGTACTTGCCTTCACTTGTTCCGGTAATATTTGTTGAGCTCCTGTCATATGCCAGGCACTGTCCTGGGCAGGAGAGACAGAGCAGTGAACAGCAGCAATCAGGAAACTTAACTTTGATCAAGCCCTTTCTGCACATCAGGTAATGTTCTGTGTCTTCATGTGCATTACCTGATCTTATGGCATGAGGTGTTATTTATGAGGTACCCTGTATGAGAAGGTTTTATTATAGTTTCCATTTTATAGGTCAGGAATCTAGGGTGTAGTATTTAGGTAATTTAATCAAGGTTGCATGCTCAGTAAGTGACAAATTGGCATTTGATGCAGGCACTCCTGTTTCAGGACCTGCACTCTTCCTCACCAGGGCTTACGTGCCAGTGGGTCCGTGGACAGACACGGAACACACACAGCTGTGGATGAGGTGCAGGAAGGAAACCAACAGGGTCAACAGCTGGAGGGAAACCTGGGAGAGCAGCAGCAGGGAAAGGAAGCCTCTTCAGAGAGGCCACGTTT